GCTTTCAAAAGATGGGAGACCTTCATCAAATCACATGGACATAGTGCACTTCCGGCAAACCCCATTCACGTGGCATTGTATTTGACACACCTTGTAGATAATTATAATGGCGCAAAGCAACATCCAATTAATTCGGCTGTGTATGGGATTAAGTGGGCGCATGACTGTTCCGGTTTTACAGATCCTACAAAAAATTCATTTGTTCTATCTATACAGGAAGCAGCGAGGAGAAAAGTTTCTAAATCTGTGAACAAAAAGGAGCCGATTACCAAAGAAGTTTTAATAGAGTTGTGTGTTAAGTTCCAGGATTCAACAGATTTGTTAATTGTTAGAAACCTCACAATGATTTTGTTTAGTTTTGCTGGTTTTTTGCGATTTGATGAGTTAAGCTCTCTCTGTTTCAACGATATACTGATTCGTGATGGTTATTTAGTGATATGAATCAGAAAAAGCAAGACGGATCAATATCAATATTATTTTTCAAAAAGAAAAACGAATATATATTTTTAGCGATTAAAATCGGACCAAGCGGCTTTAATGACAAGAAGATTATACGCATGTTGTGTGGATTGGTCAGAGAGTGACCAATAGAATTGATTTTGAAGTGTAGTAGAGAACTGATTTTAAAGGTTGGTCACTTCTAGCCGCCGACTTAAGCCTTCAAAAGCTTAATTTTCTTATTTTATAGATAACGGTATGAATAAATATATTTTTTTTATTTTTTTTCTTAGGGTTGATTGGTAGGTTGGGAGATCCGTCGCAACTATTTTTGCATCCAGCGGCACTTGGCAACGGACACAGGTTTCTTGAGCTTTTTTTTTTTTTTTTAGTTTTTTAAACATTATTTTTATCTCTAGTTTTTCCTGGCCGGCCCTGATGCTTTTTCATGTTTTTCACAAAAATATAGTAGAGAATATTATAATAGATGCAGCAGTTTTGGATAATTTTGATGTTTTTTATTTCTCATACACAATGTTCTGTGTTATATATATGTATATTGATGTACTTTTTACTGGAAACTGTCAAATAATATTTTATAGAAAATGATTTGCATATATTCAATTATCTTGCATAGAGAAGATTCAGCTACACAGTGAAATATATGAGGAGTTCTTGAAACCTGATTTCTGTGAAAGCGTCATTTGACACTAAGGGGGAAGATAAAAATCCCGAAACCTTTACGGCACATCAAAATAAGACAGACAGTCATATTCAAAAAGATGAGCAGCTTACAATCAAATTATGTGAGAGGTTCAATGAAGCAAGAAGGATATGGAGATAACGAACAGTATTCAATCTCAAAGTTCATAAAACAATACAAAATAAACGCAGAGCAAACAAGGATCTCCGAAACATCAGAGGTGGGATCAGGTGCCATGGAGGAGTAAGCATCCCCTGCTGACCGGTCACACCTGCCGTGTCCTCCTTGTCATGATCAGGAAATAACGGAAAAAATCCGTTGTCAATTCAGTGTATAAATAATGGACTAACAATGAGTATGATGAATGTCAGTCAGCATTTGACTCAATGATAAATTGTATTTGCTGTCAAGGTCACTGTATCGACCATAGAACTTACGACATGATGACTTTTAACAAGACGTTTACCTCGTTTTAGAAATTGTTCATACGTAGAGCAAGCTCTTGCGTATCGAATCAACTGAGATATATACACTCCGTATGCAGGTGATGAAGGTATATTGCTGCATAAGTAAGGGAAATTGACAATAGAAAAGTTAAAGTAATCACATTTATCACATAGCTTGGTTGTTAGATTACCATTAATGTTAAAGATTACCAGATATGTCAGACTCTGTGGTATCTTTTATCTCAAGATCACCAGGATATATCGTATCGACGTAGGAATGGAAATCACCATTGTTAATTGACAATACGTCGTTGATATGTTGAAGGCCACAGCAAGTGTTTTCTTCTTTTCATGTATAAGATTTTGCACAAATTCTGCTTCATGTGAATATAAAAATAGGTCCGGTAATAACAGAGTGCAATTGGTACCCATATGAATTCCAATAGATTGTTAGAATACCTGGTCTCCAAAAACCACGTAGATTAATTGATTGATTGTATATTGTTTAACGTCCCTCTCGAGAATTTTTCACTCATATGGAGACGCCACCACTTGCCGGTGGAGGGCTACACATTTTGTCCTATGCTCGGCACTCAGGGCCTTTGAGCAGTGAGGGATCTTTTTCGTGCCAGCACCTACTGCGACACGGGGCCTCGGTTTATACGGTCTCATCAGAAGGACCGGTCTCCACGTCCCACAGTGGGATTAGAACCCGCGACGTAAGGATTGACTCCTTACTTCGCGACTCTAGAGCAGACACTCAAAACCACGTAGATATTGTCAATCAGAAACTCAAGCTTCTCTTTTATGTCAACTTCAGAGTACTTGTGTGTGCAATCAGAATGAGTTTAACGAAATAATTTTGCAAACGACTAATGACGAAGTAAGTAAATTTATGAGTTCCATTTTTATTTAAAGAGCAGCAGTCAATGATATCAAAGAGCCAGGACTTTAATTTATCATGGGGAATGGTTGTATATAAAGTTGAAAAGTCGTAAGTTTTTAAGCTGTTGATATTGGTAAAATCTTGTGATTTCAAATTGTCCAAAATTTCTAAGGAATTTTTGAGTATCCACATATGATTCACACCACTTCTTGAATATATTTTTGGAGAGTACTCCTGAAGTTTTTCCTTCACTACTGTCAATATCTTAGTGAGGAGTAAAGAAAGAGGCTTGGTTGAACATTTACTAGAACCCGCAATGTATCATTGTTTAGAAGGATTTTTATGAAGTTTCTGAATCCAATATATATATACGGTAGTTCAAATTCCTTTTAGCAAGTAAAGAAGACAAAATATGAGAAAGAGAACACTATACCTGAACTTTCTGTATAAAAAGATTAACAAACACCCAAGTATGGATATCACTATCTAATGACAGCAACATAGTTGCTTTTTGGGCAGAACACAGAAAGCATGTGAGATGTTGCTTAGTCCGATTTATGAGTTATTCATACGAGTAAATAATTCATCCAAAACAAGTGAGAGTAGCCTTTTTATAGAGATATACCATGTTCTTAACCTACAAAAGACAACCAAAGTGTACTACGTACAGATTGATTGGATAGTAGATAGTTTCCGAGAAAAAAGCACGTCAGTCTTTACTTCCAACCGTAACACTTCCAAAAGTATTGAAGATTATTTGAAAGTAAAATTAAAAAAAATATATTATCAATTACAAAATTAATTTTTAACGGTTCATTTTTTTTTTAAATTCATAAATCGGTGGCAGATTCATAATTTAATTAAATAGGATAGATATAAATATATAACTGATATCTTTCAAGATATCTATAGGTTTGTGTGGTGTACAGTTTAAAGTAATATTTCTAGGGATCCCTTTGTCCAGCATTTTTGACGCGTTTTTTTACGTTTGATAAAAGATAGATATCGTCTTGTCATGGGTAATTTAGCGTAAAAGTCAACGTTTCTGACCTAGTGACACCTAATTCATGATTTCTGAACTTTTCCAAGTCCCAAGGCTACAACTGTAATAAATAAAAAAGGTGAAGATAACAGACACTGATGAATCTCAATAACCTTTTATCAATACACATCTCAGGAGAGTGCAGAAAACACGGACCATTGGAAATTTCAGAGGTTTTATAAGATGATATATTCGCCGTCAGTCCTACGTATTGATCAGGTAGATGATCAGACGGAACATTCCGTAATCACATTAAGGATAAAAACAAAGGTCTAACAATAGGTATCGAACAAGTCAGCCAAAATAAGACGCACTTTAAGGTATTCAATCCCTAATAGGATCAAATTCAATGAAAATGAATACATAAGAGATATGTAGGCATTGAATATTCAATTTATTTAGACATACGTCCCATTTATTACCATTTGTATGTAAAGAGGGATGTGTCCTAATTTATGACCTTGAAATTTGATAATAGTTATCTCCCCCTTTTTAATTAATAAATAAAAATCAATTAAAAAATTTTGACGGTAAAACATTTTTTTTCAATTGTCATTCTATTTTTAATGTTTCAATGCATCTTTCCACTGTAGGATTTATTGATATTTAAATTATTTGAATTTTTATTTTAAAAAAAACGCTTTCCCCCATAGACTTCAATGCAATCTTTGCTAATTAACTACTGCTTAATTAATGTCATTTTTAAACTTATCCTTTTTAAAATAATCCTTTTCCATAATAAAATGCTTTAATACAATATCAGAGTATTATGTACTTGACAGACATTTATTTGTAGAGAATTTAATCCCATTAGAGATGGAAATCCTTAAGTTGTTTGCCAACAAGGTCATTATATAAAAAAAAGATTACAAGATGCCGACGAGGTTGTTAATATCCCTGTAATATCAACTTATTTGGGAGATGTAAACATCATATGCAGATAATAGCATAAAAAAGGAGAGTTGACGATGGAGAAATTGAAGAATTTTAATACAAAATGCTAAATCATCAAATATAAAGATAACGAATTGTTATCGAGCTCAAAGTTCCTCAAAATGCTACAAATGGAAAAGAGTAAACACGGACCTCTCTCTACAAACATTATAAGTGAGATCCTGTACCAAGGAGGTGTACCCCTGCGTGACGATCATGAATAATTCATGAATTTCCTTGAATTTTTCGTGAATTTTATTCATGAAATGTTCATGAAATGTTCATGAAGATCCTATGAACTTATTATTGGACATTTTCATGAAAGAAAATTGATGAATATTCATGAATATTTTTTTTCATGAATAATTCATGAAGAGTCATATTCATGAAGATTCATCATTTCAAGAATGTCCAATAATAAGTTCATTGCATCTTCATGAACTATTCATGAATAATTTGATGAATTTTTTCAGGAATGTTCATGAATGAATAAAATTCATGAACCATTAGCATTCATGAATATTCTTGCTTATTTGTAAACAAAAAATGCAATATTATTATTCATGTTTATTCATGAAAATGCATGAAGTCATGCTAAAAAAGTAACAGTAGATGATTTATAATACAGCATCTTGAAAGATTTCACAGAAATGTTGTTTGTTTTCCAACCATGGCAACAAAATCTTTGTTAAAAAACTTAAAATCGACAATTCTGACACATTAAACCATAGTAAATGAGTAATCTAGTTCATTCCTGGTAAAAGTATAAAAAATTTCAATTCAAATGCAACTCTTTGCAGAATGTTTAACCTTACTTGGTAAAAAGGAGAGGGGGATCCTTCCTCAGCATGTTTCAAATTGTGTTTTAATGCCAGAAATTGAACAGTTTTTAATTCCAGTCTAGGAGAAAAGTTTGTTCAGCACCAGGGTAACAGTTTTCAGTGCTTTCAAGCAGTTTGAGCAGAGATGGTCAATTCAAAAATCCTTATTGTCTCTCCATGTGGAATTTCCAGAATTTCATCATTTGGATCCTTTGATTGAATATCATTCATATTTTCATTTCTTTTTTTCTTTCTTTTTCAAGAGCTCAGATTTTTGTGCAGCCAGAGTTTCTTGTCTTCTGCTCATCAACATTTGTGAACTGCTTCTCTTTTTCCTTCAAAAAGAAAGATTTTCTGAAAGTACTCATGATTGTAAAACATAAGACTTTTTTGTATTTTCTTGCATTTTAGTTTCATTTAATTTTGCATCAGAGACACTTCCAAATTAAAACATTCTGAGTGGAATTTAAGCCTATTTTCTTGGACCGCCATTTTGTAGATCAATCAGGCCTATGAATGTTTTGAGTCTCAGTCAATAATTAATGTATGTTATATGGTTGGATCCAAACTCAAAGCAAAGTTAGACAAAAATTGCATTAAAAAAAGAGACATATTAATTTATCATAATGTGCGTTAATTAGTTGTTATTTTACAAATAGACAGTAACATTTACAGACAGATTTCTGACTCAGTGATTGCCTCCATTTTTTGTCACTCACCAGTTATGAAGTAGATCGATCCTATATACAGTTTTCCTTCTTCATATTCTGTTATTTTCTTAAAAAGTTGACAAAGATCAGTGACTGTACTGTTTATTGGACACACCTTGTGAGAGGGTGAAAAACTACAAATTACAAAAGCATAATAAGAATTTGACAAAATATCAAAACCATAAGCAATCATACAAAATTAAATGCGTAACTTTAACATGTGAGCTGAACTGGCCTATGCCTATCGCATGCTGGAAATGCGCGGTTTTACAAAACATTGTAGTTGCAGAATTTAAACATGATAAAATATATGGCATAATACTGTTAGATAGAGATGATCAAGTTAGATATAAATTCAAGTAAAACAATATAAAACTTACTCATTAGGGATTCCAACATCACCAAACTTAACAGCCAAAACGCCAGGCAAACCGCATGGCTACCATAATTAGTATAAACAGAATATTGAACCCGATCAAAATAAAATTATGCAATACGAAAACGGCACAGTGACTATGCAAATAATAGATCAAAAATACTGATTCTTCTACTCTATAAATTCCCACTTCCAACGTCTCGCGCGTTTTCAAGTTTGCGCATATTCAAAAATGTACGGTAGAGCTAAGAAATACGTTAGTTTTGAATTTCCAAGATTTCTGATTAAAAAAAATTACAAACACTATCTGAATAATTTTTCACTGAAAATACAATTTTTTATATCAAAATAAGTTTTATCAATGAAGAATTCGAATTTTTTACGTCATAAATTATACATGTATTGACTTTCAGTTTCGTATATCAAGTATGGCGGCCCCCTAAGACATGATAATAACAATCTCTCGCCCTCAGACAGAATATTCTGAGCTGTGAAGACGCATAGGAGAATTAAAACTACAAAATACGAATGTGGATTATGTCATAGATACTTTACAACCATGCAGTTTGTGCTCTATCATTTACGCACGAAGCAAGGGAAACTTTTGACATTTTAACTGCACCAAAATTGAAATATAGCGTTTCGATCCAGGAATAATAGGATACAGTACAGACAAGTGATATAATTTTTTAGTTGTTAATAAATATATAAAACGTTTTATACGAAGCTCACAAAGTTCGTTTTCCAGAATGTTTCATTTTCCAACAAGTTGTTTAAAGTTTGATGTTAGAGAAAATTCGGTCGAACAAAGTTGTGTGATGAAAAACGACATTAATTAAAGCACATTATGATGAATATAACTGTTTAATTTAAATTATGAAGAAACACAAGTAATGAATTTTAAAAAAAAAATGCTGTCAATGGTGATGCACTGTTTGTTTAATTAAAATCCAATAAAAACACGAAATGTTTAGAGATTTCATGATTTATTTTTTCAGATGGTGAAAGAATGTTATTAACTATAAATTATACCAGGGGCTTGTTCAACAATTGCATCTGCATGCAAAAGTTGTATTATAAGAGTACTGAGTGTTTTCTGTCAATCATTTTTGTCAATTATTTTAGTCTTCATGAAAATTCATGAACATTCATAATACATTGAACTCTACATTTTTTCTGTCTTTAAAATGAAAATTACCAATATTCATATATATTCATCATTTGTTCATGAACTACATTTTATGAATATATTCATGAATAAAGTTCATGAACCATCTTTATGAACCAGTCATGAACCAGTCATCAACACATCATGAATGTTCATGAACGATTCATAAAAGTTCCTGAAATTATGAATTTCACCTCGCAGGGGTAAGCATCCTTTGTCAAACCGTAAAACCCACTTTGTGCTTCTGTCATGATACAGGATACACAGAAAACCCGCAAACAGTTCAGTGTGAAAATAAGGTATAACAATTTACGTTAACGTTATATTTGATAGATTGTATTTATTTACGAGGTCATCATATAGTCTTAAGTATTTGCAAAATCAACGGAGAATGCTACTTATTCTTTCTCTTTTACTTTTCCACTTTTTTATCAACACATTTTAATTGATTTTCAATAGCTTTTCTCAATTTGAACATTGTTCATAGGTGGAATTTGCTCTTGTGTTCCAAATCAACTGAGAATCACGAACTTCATATGCAGATAAAATGGTATATTGTATTTAAAAGTAGAAGTTGGCGATAGAAAAGATCTCAGTTATCTATATGATAGTTAAGGGGCTATGATACAGATGAGTCAGACTCTATCGTGTCTTTTTTAGAGTTCAAATGGATATATAGAATCAACGTAGCAAGGGAAAACGGTTTTTTTAATTAATAAAATTTCTTCGATGGATTTTAAAGTCGAATTGAAGTATACAGCAAGTAAAATATGAAAAATAATCAAATATGTTAATATGTACATTTAAAAAAAATTGGGTTGAAACGCAGATAAAGGAAAAAATACGAAGCATCTAATCTTGAACACAACATTTTCATTTCATTAGTGTGTCAACCTGCGATACCTCGTTTTCATTCGCATAACGTATGGCTTAAGAGACTCAATTTTCCAGGTGATAAGTAAGAAAATTACCATTAGGCCTAGATTTTTTCAGATTTTCTTTTACGATAACTTTGACTTTTTAAAATTTGGATGTTAAAGACCATTTTAATATTGGAATAAACGATAAATCATTTGACAACAAATACTGTTGTCAAATGACATTTGACGTATTTCTTTTCTTTGTTTGTGTTTTTTTTTCTCTTTTTGTACATTCTCCTATTATCATTATTTGTTATAAAATTAATATAGGGAGTGGGCTAAAATAGGATGCGCCTGCTGCCCAAACCTATTCACAATAACATCAGTGAATAAAATATTGTTTAAATTAAATAGGGTGAATTCACCATGCATCGGATACCCTTGTACTTCAACAAGTTCTAGCGATATCGCTACCGACGGAAAATTATCAAAATGGAGTTTAACATTTAGTTTGTGATTAAAATATCAATTTTGGACACAATTATATGCCCTTTATTGAGAAAATATCCGACTTTTTAGGAATAACTCAAAATTCACCATGGATCGGACATTGTTTACCATGCATCGGACAGACGGTATTTTGACCGGAAAAATATCATACCTTTATCAAAGTGCTTTAAATGCTTGAAATGGATATATTTTTATCTTTTATCTAAGAAATGACCCTCAACTTAAATTTAATTGACGATATCGTTGCACAAATGTAGAACGATTCAAGAGACCTCAGTCTGCTTTAGAAATGTTTTAAAATGCTTACAATTCGCGCCTTTTTTCATGGTTTATCATACTCTGGTTTGTAGAAATAAATTGAGTCAAATTCCAGACGTCATATATCGATAACTTGTATTTTGACTGAAAATATAGAGTTTTTATTTTCCTTTTCCGCAAAACACAGCTATCAGCTGGGTTCTGTATGAAAATGGTAGTACTTACCATTGCATCGGAAAGTGTCCGATGCATGGTTAATTTGTGTCCGATGTACGGAGAAATGAACGTACTAGTGAAAACCAGCTCTATAAAGAATTATACGAACATTGAAGTGAAATTTCTTTAAAATTTATGTATATTTACCAATCTTTGACTTTATTTACCAAAGTCTGACTCGTTCCGTTGAAGTCGAATTTTAAGAACGATAACTCTAAAAATCGCAAAATCATAAATTTCTGGTTATTCCCCTTTGATGATGTAAAATATGACGTGACTTCAAGGCCATTCTCGTGGTATTTTTATCACAACATGATAATAACAATCGGTATCATTAAAAAATTTAAATCTTCAGCTTCTAGACAGAAACAAATAAATACACGGAACTCTTAAGTTGAAAGAGAATTTATTGTCTAAAGTTGTCCGAAGCAAGGTATGTGTCCGATGCATGGTGAATTCACCCTACTGTTGTCATACTTTACATTATCAAGCATATTTTTTTTGTGTCTGTAAACTTCATATTGAATTCTGTGTATATCGTAGAACATATCTTTTATAAGTGCAAGCAAATATCTTAAAAGTGTTTATTGGCAAAAAGATACTAGTAGCTATTTTTTGTAAGCTGACTTTCTTTTTACTTGGGCGTAGTCTTCCATATCGCGATTTTATATAAAGCTAGACTTTTTTACACATAAATGAAGGACCATGCGAACGCCTTTATTAACCTATATAATTTTTTCTAACTTAAATTCCATTTTTGTGAAACTTAAAAAAAAATTTCACTCACATAAATATAAATTAGGTTGTTATAATTTTCAGGATTTTCGATAAAAGATTGTTTATAACATCCGTCCTTAATTGTTTTTCAAGTACAAATGAGACTACGCACAAAGAAAAATTCTGTGATGTACTACATACATATTTTATATGTTCATTTGGTTTTCTGATCAGATAATGAAGGTCGCACATCATCCATGTTGCAACCAATTTAATGGTTTGTAATTTACAATTGACGAATATTTGTATTCAATTTTACGATTATAGTTCAATTAATACTTAAAAGGAATAATGTGTAAAGATAATGAAAGTCATCGATAAATGTCAACGTTTATAAATCATTTAAAACACTTTCACATAAAATACTGCATTTGTTATTTTCAAAAGTGAACAATGACACATTACTATTTTAATCATTTTTTTTGTTTTGGGACAATGCGTACATTTGCATTTAGATATTATCCTCTGTTACTTTCATTAATTTTCAGATATAAAAATGATTATTTTAAAAGCGCCTTTTGTTTTGTTAACTAATGCATATGTTTCTAAAAAGTATTTGAACTTGTCTTTGTATCTGCATAATAAAATTTTATTTTGGATAAAACCTAACAGAAGAGACTAAATACATTATAAAGATGTGATATTTCAAAGCTATTATTGGAATCAGGAAAAAATTGTCACCTTATATTGACTGGGGGGTTGATCATACTGAGGTTACTTCATTAGAAGACACGTGACACGTGATTTTATTGCTTTTGATAAAACATCCTTCAGTATTTAATGAATCATTAGTGATTACTGGTAAACATCAGTAAATAAATCAATAATATAAAATTCGCCTTTAAGCAAGTCTTAAAAAATTGTTCTATAATTGCCCAGCTCAACTTCAAGTTCAGTTTATTCGCCTAAATGAAAATATTGGTACTTTAGATACATTAAACACCAGCCACAATAAAATTAAAATCATGGTAGAACTCATCTGTCAAAATATTAATGTTAATATTTAATAATATTGTATGGTATCCATCTCTCATCCGCAACTCCTCCGATCCTGTACCACTGAACTAAATTTATTGATACGTTCAGATTCTTTATTACAGAATGCCATTGTGCAGCTTCTATTTGACTTTTTTTA